CTCTAAGCTCCACTCTAAAACTTTAGCACCTCGCTAAACTGCACTAAAACATTGTCTCATCTATAACCTGCACTCTAAAACATTAACTACACGCTAAGCTCCACGCTAATACATAAATCCCTTCTAAGCTCCACTCTAAAACATAGCTGCATCGTAAGCTGCACTTTAAACGCTAAGCTCCACTCTAAAACATTAGCTCCACTCTAAGCTCCACGCTAATACATAGGATCCTTTCTAAGCTGCACTTTAAACGCTAAGCTCCACTCTAAAACATTAGCTCCACTCTAAGCTCCAAACACCCCCTCTCTATTTTGCCCCTCCCAGACTGCTAAAAGCCCCTTAATATTTCCCCGTCCCCTGGATCATTAGTGACCCCCCCAGGGTCATTAGTGACCCCCCCCCCCTGACAGCTTCAATTTCTCACCCCTGTCGGTCAGCATTAGTGCACGGGCTAGCCCTTACCCACACATGTGTGTGGAAGATAAGTGTGTGTGTATGTGTGGGGGGTGGGGGGGTGGAGCGGTAGTTTAGACTGCATCTAATGAGATTCCTGTTCGAACCTCTTCACTCGACCAGCTGCCACCAACCTCTCGACGCCAGACTCTGACTCAGTTCGGTGATGTATACCTGCATGACCCACTTACCTGCGCTTGAGGTGCGACCATGAAATTAATTACCCGACAATAAAACCTTTCCCAGCAATACATTTCTTTCGTTTATTTAGCCTACTTCAAACACACCACCTTCCCCCCTGCCCATTCGACTATATATCATATTTCTATTTAATAATTTTATTTAAAAAAAAACACCCTTATGCCAACTAATTATTTTGGGAGGATCAGAAGAGGAATGTTAACTATGTTAAAATAATTAATAAGTTAAGAGTTAGTTTTTCTTCGCGTTATGAATTTTATTTCTGTGTGTAAAAACATCAAACAATGCACATATAAATAGGGCTGAATTTTATACTAATGCAGGTCACTCTCTTACAAGAACGTGTTTGTTGTATTTCGTTTTGCTGATTTAATTTTAAAAGTTGGTCCGATCTGTTTGTTGGTTAATTAAATTTAGATTTTTTACCGATTTTACATCTTGATTTGCTCCGTTGGGCTTTGTACAAACATATGTGCTCGTTCAACATTGTAGCCTTTTTTTTAGTATTTAGAACCTTAAACGAAAGTCTTGAACTGGCTGTGTCCCTCAAGTAGTGAACTACAGCCCACAGATAGTCAACTAGGGCTTTTTCTCATGTATATCAAGTAATTAGGACCTTAACTATGTAGTGACCTGTGCTGTATATCAACCGGCTGGATACCATTTAGCTGTACTCCAACCGGTTAAATACCATTTAGCTGTACTCCAACCGGTTAAATACCATTTAGATGTATTCCAATCGGCTCTATTCCAATCGGCTCTATTCCAACCGTCTCTATTTAAACCCGCTCTATTCCAACCGGCTCTATTCCAAAAGGCTTGATACCAACCGACTGGATACAAACCAGCTGTATTACCTACAGGTTAACACCAACTAGCCCATACAGCCGGTTTTATACCAACCACCTGTAAACGCTACATGTTGCCACAGTTAAACTACGATGTATAAAACTTGACCCAGCGCTGACCCACATTTTTGTTCTCCGGATTTTATTTTTCTCTCTATTATTGTCAACTCGCCCATCCAAAATTTAATTGCTAAAATCTTTTTTTCTCCCCTGCGCGTCATCTTTGTTCGGGAATTCCCAATCCCAGTCAAATCGAGTTATCTCGTGTAGATTGTTTCTTGTGTTGGGTCATCTCCCTCGAGGCCGCGACGAGCAAAAACACAATTTTTACCCAGGCGAGAAAACGTTAAAATATCCAGCTAAAACCGTTGCGACCATTTTCATTATTAACCTCTTTTTGTATGAGCGGCGCTATGAAGCCGTCAGCAAACGAAAATGTGAAGATGTTAGACGCAGAACGTCAACAGAAAAAAAAAAAGCTATTACGAGACTGAAGATAAATATATTTTTTTTGTGTGCGTATATGCGCGTGGCTATCTCGTTTCACGTGCTGCCGTCTCGTGCTCCGAGATTAGATTTGGACGAGGGTTGCGCTGACTGCTGATTGCGATGTAATTGGGTCACATGTCGTTTCATTCGACTCCATGCATAAACACAACAATTTTATCTCTTTCTCCCCCCCCCCCCCACGTTTAAAAGATAATTTCTAAACTTTTATTATTGATTAGACAAATCAACTTATAGGTATTGTCGAAAGCTATACTTTAATCATATTCCTAACCCTTCGCAAAAACGGTGATCGGGAAGATACGGAACGGAAAACTGCGCGCAAAAATAAAAAGTGCGCAATGGCATTTTTATTTTCTTAAATCGAGCATTTATAGACATTAACAAAGAATCGCCAGATGTACATTGTAGCATAATAAAACATTTTTTTTCCACGAAATAGGAAACAAATTAAAGATAAATAGGTATAATTAGTTTGTATTTGCCCTTATTTTCTGTCTGCGCATTTTTTCTTTAGCGCATTTTTCTCAATTTCTGGGTACAGATCACAAAAACAGATCCATATTTAAAAAGTGCCCAAATCCAGAACAATATTCGTTGACTTAAACCTTAGCTTAAAAATATCATCAGTGATCCCGGCTTATAATTATTTTGATACTCGGCTAGTCGATATAATAACCTCCGAATAATTCATCGATACAGAATATATTTACAGTATCAATCACCAAATCTCCATATCAATATCTATGTTAGCCGAATCGATACAATAACCTCCAAATAATTCATCGATACAAAATATATTTACAGTATCAATCACCAAATCTCTATATCAATTGCTATGTTACCTGAGAACTCAGTAGTTTGATACTAAATTATTCCTAATTATTTATGCAGCATGATTTGTTTATCCATGGATCAAAGTAATCCATAAGGCGTTATCCGCGTTATTCTGCTGATCCTAATGGACGTTATCCGTTAGATCTAACCCCCCCCCCCCACACACACACACACAGATACACACACCGCCTCTGTAAAAAAAAAACCTTAAAATTTCACTGCGCAATAACCAGTCACCTGGTCTATAAATAGCTCCAATCTGAAATGAAAATCACCAGCCGTTAAACCGTTAAGTCACACCTGGCGTTACTTACAGATTCAGAAAGCCCGGGGGGCAGTTCGAGAAACTCCCCACTGTGGAGGCGGCCTTACACCCTGCACGATTTGCTTATTTAATGTCATGGGGGGGGGGGGGGGGGGGTGACCTGTGTGAGCAGTCAGGCAGGGGGGGCTGGCGTGTGAGAGCAGGGGGTGTTTGTACTGTAAACACGCTGTTGTTTGATGTAGCCTCGTTCTCATCTACGGCGCCGTGATGATAAACTCGGGGTTTTTGAAAAGGCCGCCTTGTACTGCCTGTGTAGGTCGGGGGTAACTTTAAACCCTTTAAAATAACATCCAGCTGAAATGGTAAACTTCAATTAACCATAGGCTCCATAGTCCAGGTCTGGAAGGTTTTGGGGCTTGTGGAAACAAGAGGAACTGTGTTTAGAGGATTAGTGGGATAGAGTGGTCTTGTGGTAGAGCAATTGTCCAGTTTCTGAGTCCAGCCAGCTGTATTGGGTACCTGTCATCAAACGGGAGAGGGGGGTGGGTGGGCTGACATGCGTATGATGTCCGTCGAAGTAGACAAATTCTTCTTAGTCTGCCCAGGTTTTTTTAGGCCTTTCTCCTGGAATCTCGAACACCCCCCCCCCCTCCCCCCCCCCCCCCCACACACACCGGACGAAATAAATTAAAAAAAAAATAATGTATACAGAAAATACTTTAACCATTGATTGTCTATCCCCAATCCAAAAAAAAATTCTAGTACGTTCCCGCCTCTCCTCTAGACAAAGATGCATGAAAGAAACCCTGAGTGACTCCTACGTGAAATTCAAGAATACTTTATTTTAATTTTTATAAACAGTTAGTTCGTCTATACAGTATTTTCTTATAAACGTTGTCTTTTATCTCAGTAGAAAAAAAAACAGGATAAAAGCGCTTTTATAATCTCCTTACATCTTAATTAATTAGCTATAGCCGATGTTTATCTTTCAAGGAATTTCCAAGTTTTATTTTTAAACTGCTAACTGTAACTTCGAAGCCTGTGATCGTATTTGCATGGCAATGTTTTTTTTTTTTTAAACCATAAAAATAGAATAATGGAAAAACCCGATGTCTAAAGCAATCTCGCACACAACTATCCCGAGGGCACTTTATAAAGTAAATATCTTTGGTTGTTGGAATGGGAGGCGAGGTCCGTTGTATACATTCACTGTAGCTTCAAGTACAAACTTTGATTTTTCGAAATCTTACAACATTCATGTACACACAGTGAGGTTTCACATTCACATACTTGCACTTATGAGTGCTTTAGTATAGAGACACACACATTCCTCATACAAATATTGAGTGTGACAGATTTATATGACAGCACTTCATGTGTATTGATAGTAACGTGAATGTATTTTATTTTAATAATTTGGCATAAATGATTCATATATGTTGAAAAGAGATTAACATTTTTATTTTAAAATGTGTGGACTAATTATGTTGTAATTTAATCATTTATTGTATGATATATTATTTGATGTCGTTATAAAGTAGATAAGGGTATTGGTCAGTTGCGTATTGATCAGTTATGTATTGGTCAGTTGTGTATTGGTCAGTTATGTGTTGGTCAGTTATGTATTGGTCAGTTATGTATTGGTCAGTTGTACATTGATCAGTTGTATATTGATCAGTTATGTATTGGTCAGTTGTGTATTGGTCAGTTGTGTAATGATCAGTTGTATATTGGTCAGTTGTGTATTGGTCAATTGTGTATTGGTCAGTTGTGTATTTGTCAGTTATGAACTTTTCGCCTGTATTGTGTATATGTCACTCTGCCCTGTATTTACCTATCTGTCCCCCAACCGTCAGTATCTAACGGTCAGTTCCCTCTGTCTTCCCCAGGACCTGGCCGTGTGCGGCAGCAGTCTGACGGCGTTGGCCATCCGGTTCGCAGAGGAGCTGAAGACCCACTTTATTGACGTGCTGGAGAGGTTAGAGGAGCTGTGGATGGTTGCTAGGAACAACGAGAGTTTTTGTTCGGTCAGTACAATATACCAGGGGTGGGGGTGTGGGGGGTGGGGGTTGGTGGGGGTGGGGGAGCTGAAGACCCACTTTATAGACGTGCTGGAGAGGTTAGAGGAGCTGTGGATGGTTGCTAGGAACAACGAGAGTTTTTGTTCGGTCAGTACAATATACCAGGGGTGGGGGTGTGGGGGGTGGGGGTTGGTGGGGGTGGGGGAGCTGAAGACCCACTTTATAGACGTGCTGGAGAGGTTAGAGGAGCTGTGGATGGTTGCTAGGAACAACGAGAGTTTTTGTTCGGTCAGTACAATATACCAGGGGTGGGGGTGTGGGGGGTGGGGGTTGGTGGGGGTGGGGGAGCTGAAGACCCACTTTATAGACGTGCTGGAGAGGTTAGAGGAGCTGTGGATGGTCGCTAGGAACAACGAGAGCTTTTGTTCGGTCAGTAGGATATGCCAGGGGTGGGGGTGTGGGGGTGGGGGAGCTGAAGACCCACTTTATAGACGTGCTGGAGAGGTTAGAGGAGCTGTGGATGGTCGCTAGGAACAACGAGAGCTTTTGTTCGGTCAGTAGGATATGCCAGGGGTGGGGGTGTGGGGGTGGGGGAGCTGAAGACCCACTTTATAGACGTGCTGGAGAGGTTAGAGGAGCTGTGGATGGTGGCTAGGAACAACGAGAGCTTTTGTTCGGTCAGTACGATATACCAGGGGTGGGGGTGGGGGAGCTGAAGACCCACTTTATAGACGTGCTGGAGAGGTTAGAGGAGCTGTGGATGGTCGCTAGGAACAACGAGAGCTTTTGTTCGGTCAGTAGGATATGCCAGGGGTGGGGGTGTGGGGGTGGGGGAGCTGAAGACCCACTTTATAGACGTGCTGGAGAGGTTAGAGGAGCTGTGGATGGTCGCTAGGAACAACGAGAGCTTTTGTTCGGTCAGTACGATATACCAGGGGTGGGGGTGTGGGGGTGGGGGCTACTGGGGGTGGGGATGTGGGGTGGGGGAGCTGAAGACCCACTTTATAGACGTGCCTGTGAGGCTAAAGTTGTGGATGGTCGCAACTGTGTTTTACTTAGATAGGTGTATACGTTACATTAAAACAAAATTGATGTGAAAATGCCGTATCGAGCAGTTTGTTAATATTTTTTAAGGTTAAGGTTAAGCTTTTGGGGGTCAAGGTTATGATATGGATTAATGTAAAGGATTGAGTCAGGGTCAACCTAGGGTTAAGGCCAAGGATAGGATAATGTTACAAGCGGGAAAAAATACCTTCGACTTAGATAAACCATATCGGCTTTGTTACAGATAAACCAGCACATTTTCGTTGTTTGCGTTTAGATTCCCAGCATTAGTGGGGGCGTTATCATAATATGCACTTAAGTTGTGGTTCTGATTTGTGTGCGTGTGTATGGGGTAGACATAGTCATCCAGCCCTTAAACGTATGCGGGTGTTTGTGAATGTGCGTGTGTGTGTGCGGGGGTGGGGGGTATTGATACAAGCTTTTTGAAAAAAAAATGGGTTCTATTTGCCTTTCTCTAGCCATTTACCTATTTTAAAAAGAATTAATTTATAATGCTCTAGCTAATAGTAAACCAAACTGTGAACACCATAGGTCTTATCGCATTTTTAAAATGGTCGACTTCATTTGTTTGTAAACCTTTTTAAATAAGAGGTAGGTTTGTCATCTCATATGCAATGTGTTTTGCAATTTTTGATATGCTTATAAGTCACGCATGTTTTTGGCACGATCTATCGTGGCCTGGTGCTCATGAGATTTAATTGAGAAGCATTGGGCTTCAGCAGTGTGATGTATCTGTATCTAGCTCACGAGTGGTTGTTGTAGTCTCATAGTGTCCGGGATTCCCCTTCTCAGCTAGTAAATTTTGTTAAAACAATTAAACAAAGTCACCTGAGTCATAACTTAAGTCATGCGACATTTTATTTCGCCCAACCAGGTGTTGTTTATATGTGTCTTAAGATTGCCTGCACCCTAATCCTTTTTTTTTTAAATTTATTTTTTTACAATTACCAGCAGCAGATGTGCCGGAGCCCCTCCCGAGGTATCTACGGCGGTTCTCAGTCCCTGCACTACGGGTACCCCGCCCACTACCACCACCACCACCAGCACCTGCTTCACTACCCGGGGAGTCCCAGGAACCAGCCCCCGCCACTCCCCTCATGTCCGCCGGTAAGTTACTCTTTGGTTGGTCTTTGAGGAGGTAACTGTTTCAGGTGAAGTAGAGTTTACCTGTTGGCGTGACCACACCTGAATGAATAACTTAATTATTAGGCTCCAAGTCCATGATGAAAATTAATAAATCTGTACATTAAAAAACTAAAACGCTTTTTTAAGAATGGAAGCAATGTGCTTTATTCTTTGACCAAACTTGTCTTGTTATCCTAAGCCATCTTAAGTGGACTGACTAGTCTATAATTAGTCAAATGATTGGACCGTCTAGTGTCTGGTCAGTCAAATGAGGGGACCGTCTAGTGTGTGGTCAGTCAAATGATTGGACTGTCCAGTGTCTAGTCAGTCAATGAGTGGGCCGTCTAGTGACTTGTCCATCAAATAAGTAGCCTGTCTAGTGTTTGACCAGTTACTAGTCAGTCAAATGATTGGACTATTAAACGTCAGACTAATCGACGTGACCAATTAAGATAACAAATCAGTGAAGTCAAGTCAACATCTGTAACCTGTAAGTGATTCTCTGTATCCTCCCCAGCCCCCCACTATGTCAAGCACCTACATAGACCGCTGCTCCAGCCTACAGACACACCTGGAAGGAGGTCACATGAGGTAAGCCCTGTCTTATCTCTCCCCAGGTAAACTCTGCCAGGTCACATGAGGTAAGCCACGGTCTCTCCCCAGGTACATTCTGCCAGGTGGGCTGGCATCAAACTCGACTAGTCTCAAATAAAAATAACTCGGTTTATTTCTTGAATGATAATCATTTACTTCCCTTTAACATAAACTCCCTTCACGACCAGCTTACTAACTTAACAGACAAACTTTGTGCACCATTGTGTTAATGCTTAACTAAAAAGGAAAGCATCTCCTTGTCTAAAATTATATCTTTTACCACTTAAATAACACCACAATAAGGAAAGCTAAAACAAAATTGCGTCGTCTTCTACAGTCCAGAATGCAGTTTGTATCAAACCCACACAGACCATCATTGGTATACACCACAACATTAGCCCCCCCCCCCCCACTAGTAAAGTACAGTTTATATCCATCCCACACATCATCTTTTCCTTTTTGTGCCCACAACTCATGGGCCACATCTCAAACATACCATCAGTATAGTTGTGCCGCTTTAGACATTGGGTTGAAATTCCCGTTCCTCCATAGAACAAAATATACGATACCCATTAAGGAATACATATTTATATATATATTTTGCACACCCCCCCACCCCCGCCCACAAAATCCTCCTTACGCCTAAAGAAATCCTCCTTACGACACGGACTGATACACCACCAAAGTGAAGCAACAAATCCCCCCTACACCCCTATCACTCCCCCCCCCCCCCTGCTTGTACCCTACAGTTTCTATCCATCTCACTGAGCAAACACTTCAGCTTGTCCCCGTACCGAGATCGATAATCGTTCCCAGTTTTCTCGTGCCATGTTCCCAGTTTTCTCGTCTTTAGAAATCTATGCCATGTTCTCAGTTTTCTCGTCTTTAGAAATCTCTGCCATGTTCCCAGTTTTCTCGTCTTTAGAAATCTCTGCCATGTTCCCAGTTTTCTCGTCTTTAGAAATCTTCTCTGCCATGTTCTCAGTTTTCTCGTCTTTAGAAATCTATGCCATGTTCCCAGTTTTCTCGTCTTTAGAAAACTCTGCCATGTTCCCAGTTTTCTCGTCTTTAGACATCACTGCCATGGTCCCAGTTTTCTCGTCTTTAGAAATTTTCTCTGCAATATCTGTTATCAGTTTTCTCGTCTTTAGAAATCTCTGCCATGTTCCCAGTTTTCTCGTCTTTAGAAATCTCTGCCATGTTCCCAGTTTTCTCGTCTTTAGAAATCTCTGCCATGTTCCCAGTTTTCTCGTCTTTAGAAATCTCTGCCATGTTCCCAGTTTTCTCGTCTTTAGAAATCTCTACCATGTTCCCAGTTTTCTCGTCTTTAGAAATCTCTACCATGTTCCCAGTTTTCTCGTCTTTAGAAATCTATACCATGTTCCCAGTTTTCTCGTCTTTAGAAATCTCTGCCATGTTCCCAGTTTTCTCGTCTTTAGAAATCTCTGCCATGTTCCCAGTTTTCTCGTCTTTAGAAATCTCTGCCATGTTCCCAGTTTTCTCGTCTTAAGAAATCTCTGCCATGTTCCCAGTTTTCTCGTCTTTAGAAATCTCTGCCATGTTCCCATTTTTCTCGTCTTTAGAAATCTCTGCCATGTTCCCAGTTTTCTCGTCTTTAGAAATCTCTGCCATGTTCCCAGTTTTCTCGTCTTTAGAAATCTCTGCCATGTTCCCAGTTTTCTCGTCTTTAGAAATCTCTGCCATGTTCCCATTTTTCTCGTCTTTAGAAATCTCTACCATGTTCCCAGTTTTCTCGTCTTTAGAAATCTCTACCATGTTCCCAGTTTTCTCGTCTTTAGATATCTCTGCCATGTTCTCAGTTTTCTCGTCTTTAGAAATCTCTGCCATGTTCCCAGTTTTCTCGTCTTTAGAAATCTCTGCCATGTTCCCATTTTTCTCGTCTTTAGAAATCTCTGCCATGTTCCCAGTTTTCTCGTCTTTAGAAATCTCTGCCATGTTCCCAGTTTTCTCGTCTTTAGAAATCTCTGCCATGTTCCCATTTTTCTCGTCTTTAGAAATCTCTGCCATGTTCCCATTTTTCTCGTCTTTAGAAATCTCTGCCATGTTCCCAGTTTTCTCGTCTTTAGAAATCTCTGCCATGTTCTCAGTTTTCTTGTCTTTAGAAATCTCTGCCATGTTCTCAGTTTTCTCGTCTTTAGAAATCTCTGCCATGTTCCCAGTTTTCTCGTCTTTAGAAATCTCTGCCATGTTCCCATGTTCCCAGTTTTCTCGTCTTTAGAAATCTCTGCCATGTTCTCAGTTTTCTCGTCTTTAGAAATCTCTGCCATGTTCCCAGTTTTCTCGTCTTTAGAAATCTCTGCCATGTTCTCAGTTTTCTCGTCTTTAGAAATCTCTGCCATGTTCTCAGTTTTCTCGTCTTTAGAAATCTCTGCCATGTTCCCAGTTTTCTCGTCTTTAGAAATCTCTGCCATGTTCCCAGTTTTCTCGTCTTTAGAAATCTCTGCCATGTTCCCAGTTTTCTCGTCTTTAGAAATCTCTGCCATGTTCCCAGTTTTCTCGTCTTTAGAAATCTCTGCCATGTTCCCAGTTTTCTCGTCTTTAGAAATCTCTGCCATGTTCCCAGTTTTCTCGTCTTTAGAAATCTCTGCCATGTTCCCAGTTTTCTCGTCTTTAGAAATCTCTGCCATGTTCCCAGTTTTCTCGTCTTTAGAAATCTCTGCCATGTTCCCAGTTTTCTCGTCTTTAGAAATCTCTACCATGTTCCCAGTTTTCTCGTCTTTAGAAATCTCTGCCATGTTCCCAGTTTTCTCGTCTTTAGAAATCTCTACCATGTTCCCAGTTTTATCGTCTTTAGAAATCTCTACCATGTTCCCAGTTTTCTCGTCTTTAGAAATCTCTACCATGTTCCCAGTTTTCTCGTCTTTAGAAATCTCTACCATGTTCCCAGTTTTCTCGTCTTTAGAAATCTCTACCATGTTCCCAGTTTTCTCGTCTTTAGAAATCTCTACCATGTTCCCAGTTTTCTCGTCTTTAGAAATCTCTACCATGTTCCCAGTTTTCTCGTCTTTAGAAATCTCTGCCATGTTCCCAGTTTTCTCGTCTTTAGAAATCTCTGCCATGTTCCCAGTTTTCTCGTCTTTAGAAATCTCTGCCATGTTCCCAGTTTTCTCGTCTTTAGAAATCTCTGCCATGTTCCCAGTTTTCTCGTCTTTAGAAATCTCTGCCATGTTCCCAGTTTTCTCGTCTTTAGATATCTCTGCCATGTTCCCAGTTTTCTCGTCTTTAGAAATCTCTGCCATGTTCCCAGTTTTCTCGTCTTTAGAAATCTCTACCATGTTCCCAGTTTTCTCGTCTTTAGAAATCTCTGCCATGTTCCCAGTTTTCTCGTCTTTAGAAATCTCTGCCATGTTCCCAGTTTTCTCGTCTTTAGAAATCTCTGCCATGTTCCCAGTTTTCTCGTCTTTAGAAATCTCTGCCATGTTCCCAGTTTTCTCGTCTTTAGAAATCTCTGCCATGTTCCCAGTTTTCTCGTCTTTAGAAATCTCTGCCATGTTCCCAGTTTTCTAGTCATTAGAAATCTCTACCATGTTCTCAGTTTTCTCGTCTTTAGAAATCTCTGCCATGTTCCCAGTTTTCTCGTCTTTAGAAATCTCTGCCATGTTCCCAGTTTTCTCGTCTTTCGAAATCTCTACCATGTTCCCAGTTTTCTCGTCTTTAGAAATCTCTGCCATGTTCTCAGTTTTCTCGTCTTTAGAAATCTCTACCATGTTCCCAGTTTTCTCGTCTTTAGAAATCTCTGCCATGTTCCCAGTTTTCTCGTCTTTAGAAATCTCTGCCATGTTCCCAGTTTTCTCGTCTTTAGAAATCTCTGCCATGTTCCCAGTTTTCTAGTCATTAGAAATCTCTGCCATGTTCCCAGTTTTCTCGTCTTTAGAAATCTCTGCCATGTTCCCAGTTTTCTCGTCTTTAGAAATCTCTGCCATGTTCCCAGTTTTCTCGTCTTTCGAAATCTCTACCATGTTCCCAGTTTTCTCGTCTTTAGAAATCTCTGCCATGTTCCCAGTTTTCTCGTCTTTAGAAATCTCTGCCATGTTCCCATTTTTCTCGTCTTTAGAAATCTCTACCATGTTCCCAGTTTTCTCGTCTTTAGAAATCTCTGCCATGTTCCCATTTTTCTCGTCTTTAGAAATCTCTGCCATGTTCCCAGTTTTCTCGTCTTTAGAAATCTCTGCCATGTTCCCAGTTTTCTCGTCTTTAGAAATCTCTGCCATGTTCCCAGTTTTCTCGTCTTTAGAAATCTCTGCCATGTTCCCAGTTTTCTCGTCTTTAGAAATCTCTGCCATGTTCCCAGTTTTCTCGTCTTTAGAAATCTCTGCCATGTTCCCAGTTTTCTCGTCTTTAGAAATCTCTGCCATGTTCCCAGTTTTCTCGTCTTTAGATATCTTCTCTGGCATGCCCATTCCTTCCCCCTCTCACCTATACATATTCTACTATACTCATACACTGCCCTACATCGCCGATGAGTCGGTATACTATTCAGAGCAAACAAACAATGGTACATAGACATATGTTTGAGACAAAGCACTGTATTATGTACTATTATTGCAGACTTAAAATTGGTAAAATATTCTGTTCAATATTTTTTTTTCAATACAGAATTGTTCGGTACATTGCTTTTTAAATTTATTTATTAATACAAATTATAGTTCGTAAATTGCTGTATATTTTTATCAATACAAATATTTGGTAAATTGCTCTATATTTTTATCCACACAAATTATACTTGGTAAATTGCTCTATATTATTTTTATCAATACAAATTAAATTTGGTAAATTGCTCTATAATATTTTTATCAATACAAATTAAATTTGGTAAATTGCTCTAATTTTTTTATCAACCCAGAATTAGATTATGTAAATTGCCCGTTTATCGCCGCTGATTATTTTTATACGCCCCATGGAGTGAATTCGTTTTAAAACTTTGACCCTCCTTCCACGACTATCGTGACGCGTTTTCTAAAAATAGCTTTTTATTGCAGT